TCTAGCTCTCTAGAATTTTTTTTTAAACTCTCAACTTTTATTGCTTTTGAAGTAACCACACAAGGCAAACTGCTTGTTGTTGATCAAATAAAACATTATAAGCCAGCATTCTGCCTCTAAATTCTTGTGTTCCCGTTCAGTGGAATTGTTTATTCAATACTACGCTTTCCCAATTTCTTCATAAATCTATGTCAAACTTTAGGTCAATATTTGGGTCTTTAAGTGTTTCCCCCTGTTAACCTTTTCCTGCCACTGATTTATTCAAAGCTAGTTTAAGAAAATCAAACTTCTACATTTGTCATGACTTACAATTACTAAATGATAGGTATGCAGAAATGAAAGAGAGGCGTTGCCTTCAAGGAATCCTCCTCTTTAAAAACATATTGTGCAATAAGTAAGGTTTCAGAAGCAGAACAAAGAGCTGAAGAAAGCACAGGAAGTGCATTTCATCCAGACTGAAGAGCTGGAAGAAGCTTCTTGAATGGGATGGGTGAGAACCCTGTGAAGAATTAGCAGGGGTAGGTTGTATGGATAGGGAGAGTATAATGTGAAAAGCTCTGTGTGTGATGTTTTTTGTGGGAACCACACGTGATCTGCAATAATTGCATTATTTATGTTAGTCTATATTAGATTTGACTTGTTAAAATAATGTATGATAAACCAGATTCCAGTATGAAAGGGTTTAGGTACAGTATAGAAAATGATACAAGATATTAGCAATTCTCTAAACTTTCAAATCACTTTTTCTGATTAAATTGTATTTAGATATTACACTTCCAAAGGTGGCTTTTCAAACCAGAAATAAGTTTTGCATATGGAAAATACTTAAGTGCTATTCTAATTGTGAAATGTTGAATTTTATTATATCAAATATTGACCAGTAGTAAATTATTTTTATCCTTAAACTTCTTATTTTAGGAATTTTCTTTTTGTAAACTATTTTTGTCATCAGAAATATTTTACATAAAGTTTATTATTATGAGTAAATTTTCTTATGCTGTTAAGAGGTATTTTAATAAGATTATCAGTGTTTTACACATAATTATATCATTTTTACAAATATATATATTCTGAAATGTCTCCCCATAGGCTCAGAAAGGTTTTAATGTATGCCTAATGCCTTGTTTAGTTAAAAAGATAAACTATTCTTAACCTCTTGTATAATTTCCTTCAATTTTAGTGTAGGAAAAGCCTTTTGAAAACCAAAGAATAATCAATTAATGTTACAATTGTTATTGATAATTGTGTTTCTTGCATTAGACTATGCATTTTCAAAACTGTTATTGTTAGATAGCTATGCTATTGGGAGATATTAAAAATAATATTGACTTTTTTAGTCCACTTTTTGTGGGGCAAAACTTTAGCTGAGCAATAATCTCTAGTTTTAGATCAAATCTATGTTGAATGGGAAAGAAAGTCTTAAAGACTGAATTGCAGATAAGTTGATCATAGACATCAAATTTCCTAAAAAAGGAGTTGTCTTTGAAAAGCCCAGTGAATTTCTTTGGAAAAAGGCCAATGGATGACTAGTACTGGCTTCAGTGAATGTAACTTAAACACTATTACTGAATTGTCAATTTGATATTCCATTTTCTGAGGAGAAGTTTTTGAAATAAACTTTTCTCTCCAAAGTACATATTCTTCTAAAGGTTAGATGTCTGCTACTACAAGCTAGAATAGACCATTGTTTTTCCATGTGTAGCTTGTGACTAAGGTTTAGTTGGGCTGCAGAAAATAAAATTCAGTTATTTTCCTGCAAGTTTGGTAGTGCCAAGTCATCACTCATCAAGTAAACCTTTTTCTGACTAAATAGAATATCTAAGTCTCTGATTTAGTCCATTCAGGCTGTTATAACAAAATACCATAGACTGGGTGGCTTATAAACAACAAAAATTTGTTTCTCACAGTTCATGGGGCTGGGAAGTCCAAGACCAAGATGTGGTGCAGATTCAGTATCTGGTGAGGACCTGCTTCCTGGTTTGTAGGTGGTATCTTCTCGCTGTGTTGTCATGTGGCAGAAAGGTCAAGATAGCTCTCTGGGGGTCTTTTTTATAAGGGGACAAATCCCATCCTCATGACCTAATCACCTCCCAAATCCCTACCTCCTTATACCATCACCTTGTGGATTAGGTTTCAACATATAAATTTGGGGGCACACAAGCATTCAGACCATAACAATTTTTCTGCTGGAATATTGGCAAAAACAGTCAGGGAAAGGGTTATTTGAAATAGAAAGTCATGTATCCCAGTATTTCTTTGCCCTTTATCTGTTTCAGTGGAGCCACATGCTCCCACTGCAGCCTTCCATTAGGTTAATAATATTGACCCAATATATTAAGTGCGATAACACTAATGCTACTACTACTAATAATAGCCAAGATTTGTTTTGTAATTATGATGTACCACGTGTCATGCTAAGTGTTTCTCATGCATCACCTCATTTCATCTTTACAATATACATATTCGTATAACAAAAAAAAAGGAGAGGCTGGGCGCTGTGGCTCACGCCTGTAATCCTAGCTCTTGGGAGGCCGAGGCGGGCGGATTGCTCAAGGTCAGGAGTTCAAAACCAGCCTGAGCAAGAGCGAGACCCCGTCTCCACTATAAATAGAAAGAAATTAATTGGCCAACTGATATATATATAAAAAATTAGCCGGGCATGGTGGCGCATGCCTGTAGTCCCAGCTACCCGGGAGGCTGAGGCAGCAGGATCACTCAAGCCCAGGAGTCTGAGGTTGCTGTGAGCTAGGCTGACGCCACGGCACTCACTCTAGCCTGGGCAACAAAGTGAGACTCTGTCTCAAAAAAAAAAAAAAAAAAAAAAGGAGAGATACAAAGTTTGGAAATTTGACTTTGATTTTCATCAACATCCTCCCCTCTTTTGATGTGGAGGGAAGATTAGAAAGCTTTTCATGCTCTCACTGACCCTTATATTCCTCGCAGAACATGTTGTTATGGTGCCTTGTGAATACTAATTAATTAAAGAGGACTTGTTGGAAAAATAGGAACATTTTTAAAACAGGTTCCATATGGCTGCTGTAGATACTGTGCCTTTAAGTCTTTAGCCGCTTTGGATACTTTGCTCTACCCTTCTTTCAGGCTGTCCTCATTCACAGATATTCTTCCTGTTATGATGCTTTTTCCATTCTTTTAGTGGAAGAGGGCCTACCATAGTAACTGCACCAGTGAATCATGTTTTCCCTATGGCACAGGTGTGACTACCTTTGTTTTGTAAGATCAGTAAAAATATGCAGAGTAGACCAGAAGGCTCTGCCCCTATCAAAATGATTAGATTAACATTTAAAAAAATGTGCTAGGAAAGCTTATGACTATAAAGGAATTGTAGTTTTTAATGGTATGTTTCCATACCATACCATGGTATGTTTCCATTAATTTTTAAAATTTAATCTTTAAATACCAAGGGGAATATCTTAGCAGATTTTCTTATGTGATCACCCTTTAATAGTACGAATTTACACAGCCACAGAATATTATTTAATTACTAGTATGTTATTCCAAGCTTTAAACACAGTCATGAATTGCTTAGCGACAGGGAAACATTTTGAGAAATGCATTGTTAGACGATTTCATCATTGTGCAAACATCATACAATTGCTTACACAAATCCAGATGGGAGAGCCTTCTACACACCTAGGCTTTATGTTATAGCCATTGCTCCTCGGCTACGAATCTGTATTGAATACTTTAGGCAATTGTAACACAATGATAAGTATTTATGTTTCTAAATATTTCTAAACACAGAAAAGATACTGTACAAATATGAACTTATAATCTTATGGTACCTCTATAGCATATGTGTTCCCACTCACCTACATGTCATTATGTCATTATGTGGTACATGACATATTAGAAATTTTCCAGTTAATTGCCAATCACCATTAATTACAGTAGGAGCTCCCCACTCTGTCAAGTTCTTAAAATGTGTGCATCGAGAAGCATGTTTTTTAAAGTATTACTTAAACTCTGAGTAAAATACTTATTAGATAAAAAAACCAATCTAAACTAATATTTCTTTCTTCTAAAACATCCATGTTTAGATTTATGTTTCATGTTTTTCACAGATATTTATTGCTTTGCTTTTTCCTGCCTAAGGATCCAACAGAAGGTGTATTCAATTTGCTTTTATCTAAAGGCAGTTCTCTTTATTTAATGCAATTGTTATTTACTCCCTTGGGATGTTCTACATGTAATAGGTGATGTGAATTGATGTTTCTGAGAAGCTTTACTGACTATGCAGTCTCAGGGATGTCTTCCATTTTATTTTAAAAAGATGTTCTATCTCTCTTTCTCTCGTTGGTCCAAAATATTTTACCAAAAAGCTTAACTTTGGCTCGAGAGTGAAACAAGTGAGGTTTAAAATCTGGTCCTGTCACATTCTGTCTCTAAGGCCTAGAACAAATTGTTTATACTTTGTAAGCCTTAGCTTCCAATACCTAATTTTTAGGATTCTTGTGAGGATAAAAGGAGGCTGTGTATACTAAGCCTTAGTACACTCTCTGTACTTACATCTGCTCAGGAACTGTCAGCAATTATTTTCACTTTCAGTAGTGTTAAGAGTAATATTTTCAGTAGCAGTAAGTCATTATTTAATGTTAGTTTTATTTTTAGAAACAATAGATTGTTTTAGAATGATATATTAAGTTTAACTGTTTCATGTATCTGGTGCACTTGAAAAACAAATGGTTAAACTTGCTTTCTATACAGCCATATTTCAAAGAAAATTAGATTAAACTGCACAGATGATATACTTACTGTATTTCAGCACCATGTGGGTTTTTCTAAAGTGCCATGAACTTCAAGTATATATATTAAAATCAATGAGCAAATTGATTTAAGAATAATATCATGCAAGCAATGGGAAAATTATGATTGATTTAGTGTTTCTGGATGAATGAATTCTTAGCTTTGTGTTTTCTGTCACCTTAGTTCCTTTACTATTTCTACTCAAGTAAATAAAATGATATATTTTTGTTTTTCAGTCCTTCAAGACTGCTTACAATTGATTGCGGATGGTGACACACCCACTATACGGAAAGGTAATAAAACAGCCCCAACACTGTGTCCAGTTAGGATTCAGCCTGCTCCAAATACTTGTAAACTTCAAGTCTAAAAACTGTACTTGAACTGCATTTCCAATCAACCATCCACCTCAAAACTTTGATGTTAACATAATAAACTTAAATTTATTCAAAACAACCAGGGAATAAATATTCAGGCTAAAGTAGTAATCTAATAAGCAGAATGACCTTAGAAACAGCAATATTTAGAAATTTTAAATAATTGGCATAAAATAAAATTTTTTATTATTTAGAGATCATTTTGTCTTCTAAAATGACTCAAGACTATCTTCAAAACTATTAATTCTCCTATTATTTATCAGTTGTAAAAATCATAATAGGATGAAGAGGAAACTGAACAGATCATTAAAAACTGAACAGATCATAAAAAAATGATTTTTTGGATAAATCTCCAATGTCAAATTATTGCTTGATAATTTACCATTTACTTATAGAGGTAGAATGTGTTTTAAGCTTTTTCAATTATTTGAAGTTTTTTGTAGCTTTAATTATAGACAGATAAGTGTTTTCTGTAATAATGGCCTGAAACCACATTCATGAAGAATAAACTTTTAATGCCTTTTCCAAATATATCACCCAGAATATTAATCCAGAGAAATAGCCCTTGAAATGAGAGTTTGATTGTCAAATAAGTTTGGAAACACAGCATCACAGTCACAAGGCACATTAACAAATTATTGAAGCTGAGACATCCTACTCTGACAAAACACTCTTAAAAAGTCTTTAACACTTTGCTTCATTCAGTTTTTCACAAAGTCATGTGACTATGTCACACTAACATGTATCAACATCTCCCAGAAAGCAAAATATTATTTTGGGAAATGCTTCTCTATAGTGGCTACTGTTTACACAAGATAACTAATGAACAAAAATGTACTAGAAAAGAATCTTTCATCCATTCACACATTCATTTATTCATTTATTCTACATGTATTAATTAAGAACATACAATATCCCAATTACTGTGTGAGCTCTGGGGGTCACAGAGAATAAAACATATACAGGTGCCTCTCGCTTTACAATGGAACTATGTCTAGATAAACCCAGCCCAAATTGAAAACATCCTAGATTGAATATACATGTAATACGCCTAACCTACCAAACATCATAGCTAAGCCTAGCCTACCTTAAATGTGCTCAGAACACCTCCATTAGCCTACAGTTGGGCAAAATCATCTAATGCAAAGCTTATTTTATGATAAAGTGTTGAATGACTCGTGCAGTGTTTTGAATACTGTACTGAAGTGCAGTTTCTCCTGAATGGGTATTGCTTTCACACCATCATAAAGTCAAAAATTCATAAATCAAACCATTACAAGTCAGGGACCATCTCGCAGTTTCCTGCTTTGATGGAGCTTACCTTTTGATGAGGAGGAAACAGATAAAAACCTACAAATGAACGAGCGAAATATAGAATGATGAAAGGAAATGCTGTGGAGGGGAACACAGCAGAGCAGGTGGGGACAGGGGACTTGGGGCTGTGAACCACAATGGGGAGTTCAAGAGTGTCAGGAGGTTAAGCTAGGGTATCAGGAATGGGTAAAACTAAACTAGCATGGATGATGGATGTGAATGCCTTTGTAATGATTCCCTGGAGTGCTATTTGCATCTCTATTTTTCTCTGAGACTATCCTAAATGCAACACAAGTACCAAACTATTTAAAAATCTATTGTTATTTATTGCTCTACATTTCCCCAAGTCATGTTTGCAACTTTTAATAGGAAGAAAACTATTTCCTCTGGGAAAAAAAAATAAATCTACAAGAAGATCTTAAGGAACAAAGATAAAATTTTTAACATTTATTTGGAAAAGATTACTTTATGCATCTGGCAAAAAATAAAATGCTGTAAATCACACCAAAGGACGCGGCTGCTATACTCCACTACAAGTGTGAACTGTACAGCGTGTTATGTGCAGTGTGTTATGTTACAGTGTCTCCCTGGAGTGGTGACTGCTTCCCACTGATGAGGAGGTGCTGACCTGCTATGCCTGCACATTTTGGGTGTAAGGCTTGGCCTTGTGATGAGAGCAAACCCCTTGAATAGTATATAAATGTGAATGTGATGGACATTTTAGCAGGGAGATAGAGGTAGATTTCATTTTGGTAAGAAAGTTTGTACTCAATGAAACATTTTTACTTGCACAAGTCTATAAGAAGCCTTTTGGGGAAAGATGATAATATATTAGCATATTATTATAATATATATTATTGTCTTATTGCATTATGTGTAATGTCTTGAGATGAAACCAGGTTAGGTATTCCAGAGGATGGAGGATCACAGGGCTGTGTTCATCTGATATTTTGAATTCCTATCATTGCTATGCCCTGTGCTTTTGTTCAGGCAGGGAAGGTAAAGGTCAGCTACTCAAAAGAGAAAAAGGCAAGAGGGTCTATTAGGGTGTAGACTCATGTCTTTCCTGTTTCTTTCTTTTTTAAAAAAAGTTTAATTTGATTTTTGAATATGTGGTACATTTACATGTTACAAACAATTAAAAAGCACAAAAAGTGTAGATTAAAAACTCTTACTCCCCTTCTCATCTGTCCCCACTCACCCTACTAATAAGCTACCACATTTATCATTTCTTGTATAATAAGACTCTGTTTATGTAAACACAAACATATTAGAATGTAGTTCTGATCTCTCCCTTTCTCATGCTAAACCTAATGTCCCATTCTTGCCATACATAATTTGAAAACAAGATTATGACCTGCTTTCTTTACTTAACAATGTATATTACAGATATTTTGATGTCTGCACAGGGTTTCCTCATTATTTTAAAAAGATGCATAATATTCCAGTATATGAATATAATTTATTTATGCAGTACCCTACCAATAGACTTCTTGGTGACACTCTTTTACAATGATGGTGCTTCAAAAAATAATGGTGTACTTTCGTAATTTCCCATATGTCAGCATGTGTGACATATGGGAAATCTATCCCACATTGTGGGATAGATTTTGAATTTTGACAATTATTGCTAAGTGGTTCTGCAGAGGTTAATTTTGTTTGTTTGTTGTTTAGACATTTACTCACCACTATACTAACAAGGAACGATAGGGGTTATAAAATGTTACACTATCACTGGCAATGAAAGAACATTAGGTGAAAATAGTATCTCTTAATTAGCTGAATTTTAATATGAAATGAGTGGGCCATCTTTTCTTATGTTTTAAGAACCATTTGTATTTCTGTCTTTATATTCTGCCAATTTTCTGTTTCTATTTTTATATCTGTGAGCCATCTGTTCATATTCTTTCCATTTTTCTATTGGGCTGGGCTAATGGTCATTTTTAAATTGATTTCTGTGAGCTCCTTGTAGCTTAAACAGATTGATCCTTTGTTTTATGCATTGCAAGCATTTCCCATCATGCTGTCATTTGTCATTTTAATTTTGCATAAGGTATTTTGGGTTTTTTGGTCATTATTTATGTTTTTGGTAGGGATTCTGTGTTTAGAAAAACCTTCTACATTTAAAGATAGCAAGGAAGGCTTCCGAGTTCCTTCTGAATCTTTTATGATTATTTTTTACATTTAAATATTCTATCTATTGGAAATTTATCCTGATATGAGATGTGAAGTATGTAACCAACTTAATTTTTTCCTTGGAGGCACCACCAACTTTTTAAAAAAATAGGTCATCTTATCCACACTGTTAGAAGACGCTAACTTTAACATATTAAATTGCTGTATTTGAGCCTATGTTTTTCATCTTTTTTGACTTTTCTATTCTATTCTATTATATTGATTCTTCTATTTATGTACCCTCTAAAATGCCCGTTTAGTTATTAGGGCTTTATATTGTTATCTGGTAAATCTAATTCCCTCCTCAAATTTTTTTTTCACTTTTAAATTATCGTGTTCTTCATTTTTTTATAGGAATTGTAGAATCAGTTTATCTAGTTATAAAGGAAACAGAAAGCCTTCTGATATTTTTGTTGGATCTTATTATATTAATAAGTTAAGGAAAATATACTTATGATGACAGGTGTTCCAATGAAATCCAATCCAAGAACATGATATATATTCATATTTGTTCAGTCTTGTTTCTTTCAGTATATATTGAAATTTTCTTCAAGTAGGTTTTCCATATTTCTTGTTAACATTACAATAAGACAATTTTATCTTTTCAATTGCTATTATAAATGGGGATACTTTCTTTCATTATATCTCATAGCTGTTATTCTTTTTGTGTATGAAAACCTTGAATTTCATGATATCTCTTTTAATATTAAGGTTAAAATACTTTCTTTTTTGGTTTGCATTTCCCTAATATGACTTTCCTCAAAATCTTATTTCCTCAAAATCCCTGAAATAATTTGTTTTCTGTGTGTCTCATGTATACAGAACAAAGTTGGGCTTTACTTTTTGATTTCATCTTAAAATAATTTATAATCTAATTTATATTTACCAATCTCAGAAATATGTTTGGATTTTTATTCATCATACTATGCAATATCATGTATTGTTTTATACTTTAACTAAGGAATTTCTATTTTATAGTTTTAAACAGATGTCTCACTATTGCAAGCTATTTGCTTTGCTTTTTCTGTGTGTGCAGAGCTCTAGTGCTTACCTTTATAGTTTTTTTACTGAGATCATATTCATGTAACATAAAAGTAAAGTCTAGTACATGTATTATTGAATATTGAATAACAGTCCCTTATCAGGTATGTCTTTTGCAAATATTTTCTCTAACTTGTCTTTTCATTCTCTTGACAGTATCTTTTGCAGAGCAGAAACTTTTCATTTTAATGAAGCCCAGTTTATCAATTCTTTGTTTCATTGATTGAGGTTTTGGTACTGTACCTAAAAAAGCACAGCCAAACCCAAAATTATCTAGATTTTCCCCTATATTACCTTTTAGAGGTTTGATAGTTTTGTACTTTACATTTGGGTCTGTGATCCATTTTGAGTTAACTTTTGTGATGGGTATAAGGTCTGTGTCTAGATTC